GTTGAATTGATGGGAGATGGAACTATTGTGACAAATCTTCATAAAAATAGGATGTTGCTTAATGCAAATTAAATTTTAATTACAATAATTCAAAAAAGTATTAAAGTTGAAATTGTAAAATTAATATGTTTATTTGACTAATTTAATAATTATAACATAATTTTATTACTATAGATTAATTGATTCATAGTTATGTGCAAATTAATGGCATATGCATCAGTTAATACCATGCAAAGTATTTATTGATTTAAACTGATCTTGAACTTTTTAATCACTGTCTAATTTGATAGTAGTAACTTTTTCTCTTGTAAAATGAATTCTAACAAAATAAGTTAAAGTTGTATAGAAATATAAAATTATATTAAATTTTTATTATTAATTAAATCGATGTATTTTAATGAATTTTATTAACCTAAGCAATTTAAATATAATTTTCATTTTTATAAACTAATTACTTTATAAATAATTAGTTTAAAATCTTAATTAGTTTTAAATCTTAATTAATACTTATTTTCATTAAAATTATATCAAGGATTATTTTTTATTTATTATTTTTTCCAATTAATTTTTTTCTTATCACATAAATAAATGTGTTATACTTTTCTCTCATCTATATCACTTTTCACATATTTCTTATTAATTTAAACAATCTTATTTATTATTGTCTTCTTTCGGTTTTCATCTCTTCACTCCAATTAAAAAAAATCTAAAATATAATTTAAGTCTTGGAATTTTCATCTCTTCACTCCAATTAAAAAAAATCTAAAATATAACTTAAATCGTAGAATTCTTTTAAATATAAGTCGTTGACTACTAAAAGTATTATTACATTTAGTACAAAACAAAATACATTCTTAATTTTATCAGTTTTGTTTAATTTTGTTAGTAAATGTAAGATTTCATTTAATAATATAAACTTGTTAAATAAAACATTAAATAAACATGAAATTGTATCCAAAATAATTATAGTAATATATGAGATATTTACGTATATAACTTAAAGAACTTATATTAATAACACATGTTATAATGTTTCTCAAAATATAGTGTAGAAATGATTAAGTTTAATACAAAACAATTTAGTCAACAACATTAACATCTTTTTTTTTAAGAATTTGAAAACAAGAAAAACAATATTTCCTTACTTGTGAAGACATCTCAAACAACTCTAGAGAACCTTAAACATATATAAATATTATAATTCCAAAAAACCAAAACACTCATATTTTATGAAGACATATATTGAAATCATAAATATTAGTTTTTCTTACTTGTGAAGACACCTCAAACAACTCTAGAGAACTAAAACACCTTAAAACATATATTCTCTGCCTACATATATAAACATTACAAAAATGGTAAAGTTATAACCATATGATTATGATCAACAAAGACTCTATTAAACTTAAATGACACATGCAAACAATAGTTACTTACATGTAAGAGAAAAACAAAACTAACCAAGAGAAAAAATAAATCAAATTCAAATTACTCATTTGAGGAATGAATTAGATGAACTAGAAGAACTCGTCTCAATAATCACCCTGACAGTTCAAACAAATAGACAAAAAATAAGAACAAAATAAGAAAAGTGTGAGTTCCATGAAAGTGATCTATAAAAAACTTGTATGTTTTTAAATAATGAAACTTGTATATAAAATTTCTATTTAAAAATTTTAATATTAAAATAATTAAATTTTATGATTTTAAAAGCACCATTAATCATTTTAGGTCTTTATAATATTGA